GCCTGCATTCTTGGAAAACAGACACCAACATATATTAAAGAATTTGGAGCAAAAATCAGTTTTTACTCCAGCATGTTAAGGATTTCATATGAAAGTAAACACCTTAGAAATTTTTCTGAAGAGCTAGGACATAAATATCTAGGGCTCATGGTAAATGGAAACTGCTGAGCAAAAGCAGTTCTTAAGTTGTCCCCTGCTAACTAGACAACAAGGCTTTCAGAGTTTTCCCTTTAAGGATTACAAAAGTGCTCTGGCTGGTGTGGCTCACTTGGTTGGACCATCATCCCATGCACCAAAAGTCATGGGTTCGATTCCCAGGCAGGGCACTTACGGAGGTTGCAGATTCAATCCCCGGTCAGGAAGCATGCAGGAGACAACTGATGTTTCTCTTTCCCATTGATGTTTTTCTCCCTCTCCCTTCCTCTCTCTCTAAAATCAGTTAAAAAATAAAAATAAAAAATAAACTGAAGTAAGGACTTGTATTTTTCTGTGCACCTTTCTTTTTCTTTCTGGTGATTGATGGGATCTAACAGAATGATGTATTTGAATTCTTTGGACTTAAAATCCAGCAACGTGGCTCCAATATGCGATGGCAAAGGGGAGCTTAGAGGTAACAGTGATTATCAAACCTGTCCACTCAGGGGAGAGAGGATTCTGTCCCAGGAGTGTCACAGGCCCTCCTGCCTGTGCCAGAAGCATCACCATCTCACCTGGGGAGGGAGACCCAAACTCCATGTCATTTATGATGGAGGCTGAGATGGGGGAGGAACTCCACTGTGTGAAGGGGGCAAGGCCTGATTTGCGTGGGAGGGGAGATGCTGCTGCTACTTCTGCTGAGGGGGTGGGGTGGCTGTGACACAGGCTACAGACTGAGCTTCTGTGTGCCCCCAGAGTGGTGGAGAGATGGGTCTGAGTAGAGGAACCAGAGTGGATGAGTGCGCAGGAGGGCCGGTCTCCTCGCACCTACACATCCTATGTGTCCCAGCTGACGCAGACCCAACCCACCCTGTTAGGTCTGGTTTATGAAAGGGGCGGATATACACACAGTTCTTCTGTAGCCACAAGACTGTGGCAAAGCTGTTATTATAAAAAAAAAACAGAAAAGTGTTGAGAAAGATGTGGAGAAATTAGAACCCTTGTGCGTTGCTGATGGGAGTGTTAAATGGTCCAGCCATTATAGAAGGTAGTATGGCAAAAAAGTAAACATGGGATGACTATATGAGCCAGCAATCCCACTTCTGAGTATGTATCTAAAAGAATTGTGTTAACCTAAAAATAAAGGCCAAAGTGAGAGGCAACAGCACATATTTCAGACCCAAAAGAATAGCTATTCTACAAGCACTGATTTAGGCAGAAACCCAAGATAGTGTTCCAATTAGGAGGTGAAGGTAAGGTATATTACAAGAAAGGGAAAGGAAATAATTTTATCAATAGAGGGAAAGCATTTCTACCAGTGCAGATAAACTAGCTTAGTGATGCTAATTCTAAAGGAAGTTTTTAATCTTCCATTCAGTAGTCATAATATTGGTTTCTTGTTATCTTTGCAAACAGTGGTTTGAGATATAAGGCTGCTTTAGGCCCAGTCTGAAGGTTTTTGTGCCCAGTTTTAACATTCCGAAGACTGGAGGAGTAAGACCTACAAGGCAGTCCCTATGGGGTGGAAGCTCCGACTCCATTTTAGAGCGGCTTTGTTTATACTATTTTTCACAATTGAAAGCACAGGCTTTGTAACCAAGCAGGAACTACATTTCTTTAACAGGACCTTTTCTCCCTTATATCCATCCCCTCCCTTCCTTAATCATTCAGCCCTTAGGACATCAGATTCTGGTCAGCACCAGTCTGAAAAACAAAGCCTCAGGTCTGTTGATCACAGAAACAGGGTTTTGGTGAAACTAAAGATAACATCTGGACCTCAGCTGTGTTTCAGCCACAGACCTACATTGACCTTATCAGCCACACCCTCCCGAACTAGACAGAATGACTCCATGGTTGACATCAGACCGGATACCATGATCAACTACTCTCTATCCTGCTCCCACCAATCAGTAGAGCCCAGGACCTCAGCTTGTTTAATCACCATGTATAATCTGTCCGTGGGTGGGCCATCCCGGAGCCAATTCTTTGAGAACAAGCTCACCTGTGACTCTGGGCTTGCCGCCATTTCCTTAAAAATAAGCCTGGCCCCGCTGGGAGTGGCTCTGGTTGAGCATCGACCTAGGATCCAGAAGATTGTGGTTCATTCCTGGACAGGGCTCATGCCCTGGTTTTGGACTCCATCCGCAGTAGGGGGCATGCAGGGGGAAGCCGATCAATGACTCATCATTGATGTTTCTATCTCTCTCTCTCTCCCTCTCCCTTCCTCTCTCTGAAATCAATAAAGATATATTTTAAAAAAGAAGAAAAAATACTTGACCAATTTAAAATATATAATAAAATAAAATAAACCTTTCTTTTCTTTGCTGTAAACTTCTGTTCACATTTGATTGGGCTTTGACAAATGCAGGCAAATGAACAGCTTTAGTTTGGTAACAACTTAAAAAGATACTTGTACATCACGTTGAAGCAGCATTATTCACAGTAGCCAAAAGGTGGAAACAATCCAATGTCCATGGATGAATGAATGCACAAACAAGATGTGACATATACATACAAAGGAATAATATTACTTGGCCTTAAAAAGGAAGGAACTTCTGCCCTGGCCAAGGCTGTAGGTTCAGTTCAACCCCCAGTCAGGGTGCATACAAGAAGCAACCAGTGAATGCATAAATAAGTGGAAGAACAAATCAACATTTCTCTCTCTCTGTCCCTCTCTTCCTCCCTCCTTTCCTCTCTCTAAAATCAATCAATAAATACAAATTTTAAAAAATATTGCTGTTTGACTTGAATAAAAAAGAAACGGTAGGAACTTCTGACCTTCTACAACATGGATGAATCATGAAGACATTATGCAAAATGAAGTCAGTCAGTCACCAACAAATATTGTATGAGTTCACTTATATGAGAAACCTAAAGTACTCAAATTCATAGAGACAGAGAGTAGAATGGTGGTTGCCAAGGTCTGAGGGAAAGGGGGAATGGAGAGTTATTGTTTAATGGCTACAGAGTTTCAGTTTGGGAAGATGAAAAAGTTCTGGAGATGGATGGTGGTGACAGTTGTAAAACAGTATGAATACACTTAATGCCACTGAGTTGTCCCCTTAAAAATGGTAAATCTTATGTATATTCCATCCCAAAATGCTAAAAATAAGGACTGGCTTGATGCATTTTTGAAGACGTGTGAGGACTACATCAGCTGTTCTGTAAAGTATAAATCATGGGACGCCTAGCAGGGACTCCAAACTAATTCCCTCCTTCCCTTCCCAAAGTGGCTAGATTATTTTTTTTAATTATAGTTGGTACTCAATATTATATTAGTATACAATATAGCAATTAGACATTTATATACCTTGCCAAGTGATGACCACAATACAGTTAGCACACATCTGACACCATACAGAGTGGTTACAATATTATTGACTATATTCCCTATGCTGTACTTTACATCCCTCTCACTAATTTTATAACTGCAGTTTGCACTTCTTAATCCCCTTCACCTTTTTTCACCCACCCACCCCAATCGGGCAACCTAGGGGACTAGATTGATTGCACTAAAAAATCAATCTAACAGAGGGAAATACTGCCTTAAAACACAAGGGCGCCTAACACATTCAACCCTCAAAAATAGGAGAGAGAGAGAGAAAAAATGCCTAAAGCAGCAGAAAAAGGCAGCACCACTCCCTCACAGCTGCTACTGTTACTCCTCCCGGTGTGTGCGAGCTTCCCATCGCTGTGTATGCACCGTTGCTGTCCATCGCTAAGGTTTTAATGATAAATAACCGCAGACTGGATTCGAATGATTTCTTAGCTTCTGAGAGGCTCCGTCTGAGGGACTTAGGGAGTTCTGGCGAAGACGGGAAAGAGCGCTGGTCGTCTCACAAGCCGGTTTGGGTTCCCAGGGTCCAAAAAGCAAATCGCTCCTCTGTCCCCGTCTCGCTTTCTCTGCACTCTTCTCCCCCCACCCTCCACGTCGCCCATCTTTCTTTTCACCTCCTTTCTTCACTTTTTCGCTTCTTCCAGTGACGAGCTCGCGGAGCCACAAGTCCAACACAAACCGTGCCACTTCCCTTCAGAAAAATTAGTGCCTCGAAAGAGGCGAGAATCAGCGGGGCGCGGTGGACCCTCCAACCCCACCGGCAGTGGGGCTGCGGGCGCCCAGCTCTCGCGTCTGGTCGGGATCGTGGCCGGCGCTCGTTCCTCGCCAGGAACAACCTCCCCACTGTTAATGCCGGAGCGGGTGCCAGCCGCCAGCGCCGCCCGGGCGCCCCGGGTGCCAGGGTCGGATCGGGTGACCGTGCGGGCGCGCGCCTGGCCA